TAATGAAGTTTCTTATAATAATTTACCCTATATTAAAAAGTTTGAAACGAAAGTCTGTATAAGTTACCAGACAGTAATAAAAATTTTACTATAATATAATAATGATTATAATATGAATCCATTAGAATAAAGTCAAATAGCACTTACCTGAGTGCTTTAATAATATTGTGTAAGTTAGCTCTTAGACGTAACCTTTAATTTTACTGCCTTACGAACAATAGTTAGTTATATGACATTGTCATATTATGTATTATTCAAAATTAAAGTTTTCCATATTAAGTAAAGAAGGCTGGCCTTTCTAAAACTTCGATTGAAAATGTAGGACTATTTCAAGGTTATTATTTATCACTATTAATATGTAATATTGTAATTAATATCTTAGTAAATGAACTAATAAGTAAGGAGAAAAAATAAGTATTACGAGCTCATAACGAACTCACTAAGAATAGGTTCGCGTTGATTTCGGTGGTAAAAGTAGGAGCGAAAAAAAAGCAGATAAATCTCCCTTCAACCTATTGCTACACCTGTCCAGAATTAATATCAATTCATTCATAGAACGGACTTCGAAGGCTCGTTTCAAATTTCGTTAGGTGGAGAGCGGCGCTTGAACGGTGGAGGTAAGCGTTTAACGCGCGTTAAATAAGGCCCTCTAAAACCTATACCTGGGTCGCAAGTCCAAGGCACTTGCAAAGCTCCTCTCCTTGCGATAAAAAGGACCCGCGCGGGAAATTCAAGGAATGCTGAAAAGTTTTGACTTTAAGAATGTATGTCCTTATTTACACTGGTCAATTAATATCTTGATATTATTTCACCCCTTTTTTTTATTTATTTTTTAATATTCCTAAATTATTCTGACTAAATATTTGTACAAATATTTTACTATCTCAAAAATCAGCAGACGCCCACATGATGTTTTGCCGTTATGATGACTGTCACCTACAGGTCTACAAAACGAGGAGTGTGGATATGGTATCATTTTTAGGTTTCCAAGTGAATGTAAGTTTTCTCGGAATATAATAAGTTCTAACATTCTTACACATTTCATTAATATAAATTATTAACTTATTAGAAAATATCTCTGATAATAATTTTGTTTTCAATGGTATGAAATCATAAAAACTCGGCGACAGAGCAAAGAATAGAATTCATATGTTCGTCTAGTCACGTACTCTGGATGGTAAACTACATGTCAAGTCGTGATTGGTACAAGGATAATAATAACATTCAAGTTTCAATTATCCTTTACTAAGTGTTTAGTGCTGGTATAATTGCAGATAGAAACTTGTTTTATTTTTTTAAGACAGAATTTTAAATAGGAAAGTCATTAGGAAGAAAACGAATGTTGTTTGTGAACTTCTTTGTTTTACCCATCAAGTACTCGTAATGAAGTTGGAAAGAGAAATATTAATTTAAAAAAATTCCTTCCTAATTTATTATCTTATTGCGGAAAAAGATATTTAAAGAAATTGTTATATCTCGATGTCTATTAAAATAGTAAAACCTCAGACGTTTCCAAGAAGAATGTGTTTTTATCAACAATAATAATAATGTCGACCGTTCACTACAATAATAATAACCACATGTAGTTAAATGTGTTGTCAGCATAACTATCAAAATACTTGTTTCAGAATTTAGTTTCCTACAAACCAATTACGTTCAACCCTAAAGTTGGTTTAACCTAAAATTGAATATTGCTATTTTATCATTAAAATTATAGTTGCTGTAGTAGAAATTTCAAAACATTTAATGAAAATGTAACAACATACATAAAAGTTTTGGCTTGATCTCAGAAAAAAACATTGAAATCTGTGTAATTAAATATTTAACATTTCATTTCTGTGCACGTGTTTGCATTCCACGAATTACTTTATATCCACTGGACTTTGATGTTGTAATCTGTTTGAAACTGATGGCTTAGAAGTCACAGTAAGAGAGCCGTAATTAAATATTTTTTACGAGTTTCTAACTAATATGAATATACTGAAAATGTATATAAAATACGGTAATAGTCTCTTTTAATTTTCATAATCTCACATGCAATCTATAAAACAGACATATAAAAGAACAAAATATTTGAAACATTTAATATTGTTGTGCGAATGACAAAGTAATAGCCTTTTAGTCTTTCCAGTGAAATGATGTGCAGAGCATTTACAAACTGGTTTATTGTTTTACGCTGTAAATAAACGAATATAAAATGTTATGTCTGAGGCAGCTACAGGAATTGCTATACTTTGCAAAGATGAAGCTTTTTGTGTTCTTAAATATATGATACTTAATTTACATATTATAATTTATGATAAAGGAAAATAACAATTATTTAAAACAACTTTTTGCCATTTAATTATCGTCAACTAATAATAGCTTTCAATATCTATGTGATGTGTAACTTTAATTAAGCTTTTTATATTAAAGTAGAAAATCAAATATTTTGGTAATTTCTTTTAGAAAATTTCGTTTTTGTAACGTTGTAATTAATAAGTAGTCATTTAAATGTATTATAATCAGCGAAACAATGATAATTTTAAAACGAATAATCATATATATATGTACAAAGATAGATAGATATATACTTAATCATCTCGATTGTACAATAAAAAGTAAGTTAATTGACAAATTGTCCATAGCCATAGCATAGTCCGTTTTTGTATTATATTTTTTAAACGCAATTTAAATTTATAAACTTTGTTAGTGAATATTTTACATCATACTTTTCGTGACTGAATACCATTTTTTTTTATTAATAATTAGGTTTTATGTTTTTAATTTTTTTTCAGATGTTTTACCTGAGTTTAACTACAATGACCTACAATAATTTTTTATTATAATAAACCATTGCTTTCAAAGTATCTTGGAATCAAAAAAGACTTTACAACGTTTAATATGAGAATTCAGAATTTTTTTTGAATATAAATTCTTCATAATAAAATATTTCGTTTTAACTTTAACTAAAGATAAACGCACATAACTCTAAAATAGAATGTTGTTTTGCGAATGAAGTCTGAAACAAAGGCTTGGTGGAGGACATAATGTCTGTGTTTTAATTAATAAACCAAAAATATAATAAAAATTATTGAAAGAGACAAACGAACAACAGAAGTAGACAGCAGAATGACTGTTGTATTATAACTTCAACAAGAAATTAAGTTCATGGAGAATAATCGCAACTGATCATTATTGTTTTATTTATCAACAACAGAAGAATTTAGTAATACAATAAAACTAATCACAAACTTAAAGTTATCCAAGTGTACCCTTTGTACATTTCTATTCAAGAAGACAGTCTCCGTCTCACTAATTAAAGGCCGCAAGGGTTTTGGTTACTTATATTCTCATGTTTCACTGTTTTATTTTTATTTCAATCTAATTTGTTTCTTCTTTTATATATTTATAGTTTAAAACTGTAGTTTAAATACAATTATTTAATAAAAAATCAAGAAATAAACGACTTTATAACATAAAATTCAACAATAACATTATATCATTTGTTCCTTTATAAATATTTTAACAACGTTTTTCTTTGTATAGTATTTATAATTTCAGTATAGCCCCAGTATGTAGTATAGCCCTAGAGCCCTTTAGAAATTTTTAGAAAGGTCTCAAGTTTTATTCTCAATAAATTCCATGTTTCATTTGTTTTTTTTTATTATTTTCCACGTGAGCGGCTATTATATTGCGAACTTGTATCAAAGTTAAAACTGTTTATGGAAATACAAAATTTAGAGCCATAAATATGCAATTCAATGGAAATAAATATAATATTATATATAATGAATATAATATATGTATAATATAATGGTCCCTTCACCTATGCGAACTATCCTAACTTGTCAATGACAAATTGGAATTCAGTATGAATATGTGAAATACCTATTGAAGCTCCTTTGATTAATTTCTTTGATCAAGTTACTGCTCTAACTATTTCAGGATTAATATATTTTTCAATATGAAAATAATTAACTTCTATAAAATATTTTACGATGAATATTTGGGCAGTACATTTAGCGATGTTATACATTTTAATAATTAAATCAGTTTTGCCAAAGAAATCTTTAAAGAACTGAATTTAATTTTTAATTATTTTAATTTATAATATTAACTTTCACATATTAGATTGTTGACTAAACAAAGGAATGTAACTGATAGCTGTAACACTTCAACGTGCTATCGGAGGGTATAAGGAGATTAAAATATTAACTTAAGAAATAAGATAAATTACTTTAGCAAACGACGGATTATGTGGTTGGCTCTATGTGAGAGGGTCTTTGGTACTCATATTAATTTATAAAGTAAATTCATTATTGAAAATCATATAAGCATACATAAAAATGTAGGTAACAAAATATTATATCACATGAATATTGTTTCTGTGATTATAAAGTATTGATCGCGTATACTGAAAAGAAAAGAATAATGAGTATTTATTAATTATAATTAGTAATTAGATAGAAGCCAAACATGTGCTTCTTTTATATCACGTAATCCTAAATTGAAAATTCGTGAAATATATTTCTTGTAAGTGAATATATTTACTTCGAAAAGAATGCGTCAGTGAAAATAGCTTTTGCATATAAATGGATATAGAGTCTATATTCAATAAATCGCATACCGTATATATCGAGAGAAGTTCCAAATCATTTTACAGAATATGTCGAGTGAGGTAAGAATTAATATTTTTCTTGAATTATTCAGAGAGAATATTTTAAATGATAAATAAGAACGCCTGGTATTTTTCAATTAATATTTATCATACATCGGTGAAAAAAAAACAGTTTTTTTTTATTTTAAGATTTTTGTAAAGCCCTAGAAAGCGCGAATGAATTAAATAATATTTACTTAAAAATCATGACGTTTCTACATGTTCCTATGGTTTTGAATGACCTGTTTCATATTTTGGCTATTTTGTAACATATCTTTTCGTCGAACTGATTAGTTTTAAAAGATGTATTTAAATTTTTGATCAAAAGTCTGTTAAAACTTTTATTAACTTGTGTACTTACTTTTTGGTATAATTACACTTCACAGCCACTATAATTAGCAAAATATTAGTCACCAAAGATAATAAGATAACAGGCACGTAAAGCGCTATCAGCACGTTTTCAGGTTGAAACAAAATATCCAATTCAGTACCAAATTGCAAGGGTCCAGATAAATTGACGCTCAGATTAAATTTCTCCAAACTATCAAAATCATTAACTGTAAAGTCTGTAGACATATTTGTAGTTCGTTCACTATAATTCATTGTTATTTAATATGTTTCACTTTTATTTTTTAACTTATATGTACTACTTCGAATAAAATCTTATTTATAAACTAAAAAACAGTTTCAAACATGTGATAAACGTTAACACTTTATTTTTAAAAATCACAAAACACCTCTAAAATGGATCGTAATTTTTAATGATAATTTAAACTATAGTTACATGGCTTTAGTAACACGTGATTTTCGCGTTTCACAAACCCTATGAAGGCAACCTTTGTACGGCGGATTTCAGATGAAACTGAATGGATGCTTTCCTCAAAGAGAGCGAGAGAGACAAACATTGAGATAGAACGAGAAACTCTTAATCATGGTACTGGGTCATTCTAAAACTTTTACATCACACTTTTAAAAAGGTTTAACTGTTTCATTTTACATTATAATGTCAGAGTTCAGTTTGAAAGTCCTTAACGAGTTATATTTGATGACACTTCAACAATGTTAACTACTACTTTCCATACCTTAATCTATGAATAACTGAATGAATAAATGATTTAAACTTACTGTATTTTTTTGGATTTAATTTGAAATAATTTATCACAAAAAGTCATATGAATCAATGAAATATCTTTTCTTTAATAATGTCGTTCCCAAATTGAAATTATATCTTTTCACATGGTTCATATGTTTTTAAATGAAAGGGATTAAAATCATCTTTGGTTGAGGTTGTAAAGAAAGGAAGGAATATTATGTTTTATGTAAACAATAGGCTCAATTAAGAGGAGATTTGTATTAGTGTTAAGATGGTAAAAACTATATATCCTTAGATATCTTATAAGGTACCAGAGAATGCATTAAATATTGAGATTTAAATTTCAATGAAATATTATCTATATGACATTAAATGTGCTTAAAATATTAGAAAAACTATAACATTTATATATTATAATTTTAATGTGTAATTTTATATTATACATCAATTTGTATATAAAAAAAATTATATAAATACGCCACTTATACGCCACTTATACGGACTTTAATTCTGTCAGAACAAAAAAATACAAACAGAATATTAGCATTCTCTCGAGAGTGATACACGCGTTAAAATTGAAATGCGGTATGCTTTTGGTCCGACAAGGTACATAATGTTGAACGGAATTACTCTATTTTTGTTTTAATTTTCTAACCTAATGGACCTCCGTATAATGGACATAATATTTTTCTATAAATATGGAAAAATTTAGAAATGTTACCTTATCTTAGTTGTCAATGCTTATGTATACTGTTCGTAATCTTTCATGAAAGAAAATTATTTTATATTTTCTAGACAGCTTCAGAAAACAAAGCTCCTTGTTCCCATCACAATAATGAAAAGTACTTGGAGTCAGTCTCGGCAAAACCTAATGACCTATTACTTTAATATGACATATAAATATGACAAGTGGATATTAAGACAAAAGATATTTTTTTTACTTTAAAAATGTTGGCGCAAGGGATTTAAAAACTATTAATGAAATTTTTTTAACGTCCAAATATGAGATTAAATATAAAATGGTGATAATTATAAATGTATATATGTGCAATAACTAAAAGACTACTTCTTTATCTTATTAATAACTGTAAACTTTATGCAGACAATAGTGTACTAGCTATCGCCCGCTCCTTTGTCCGCTTGTATGGCGTCCCGATCACAGCAGGTGCTAACAATGACCTTTATTAAGTTTTAATGCCGACGCCAAATCTTTATTCGGGGAACCTTGCACAGCTTCGAGTGATTTATATTTTTCAATTAAATTATTCCTATCCATGGCGAAAAGACCCTCGGGTTTGAGGGTGTTAAAAAATTTCACTGGATAACTAACCATGTCATCAATATTAAAATAATAAGTTCAGTTTTTCTGTATGCTCAACATTCATTTAGATCATTAATTAATTCTTGAACAGGCATTAATTTCAACAATTCATATTTTTGTTCAGTCATTACGATCCTTATAACTTATCTCTTAAAATTCGATTTGATCTACGGCTCCATAATAATATATGTAGCTCTGATTATACATATTATATGGGCAAAATCTCCTGCTGCCAGTACAATCCCAATATTTATACATTACCGTGACCTCAATTGTAATTTTGTTCCAAACTATTGTTTTTCTTGTTTCACTGTTCACTTCAGAAGATTTTTTTTGAGACCTACCTACTGAACACCTTTGTGCAATGATATTTAATAATTATCCTCCTATTGGGGCGTTGTCTAATGTACATAATATATCTGATTCTTTTTATACTAAATACCGTATGCTTAAATATTATTAAATAGCTCTTTGTGCATTAAATAATTGTGTACAAGAAATGATATAATAAAGATTATTTTAAAAACTAAGTTTTTTCAATCGATTGACGTTCCAACCGTTAAACTGGCTATAGTCACGAACGATCTTAATAAAATTATTCTGCAAATGTAATTATTATAAAAGTAATTAGTATCTTTGTCAATATTTTAAATCGTTTGAAAATTAGTATTTCAACTATTTTAAAAAATCCTTCTTTTATTTTGGGAACTTGAATAGTAAATTTAATGAAAATTAGAGTCATTACAATGTGATTCATTCAAAGTACGAACTCTTGTTTTACCCCAGGGGATCTTCTTGAAGGAACCAGAAAACACTTGTTATGTATTATTTAGCAGTTATAAGAATAAATTTCATAGCAAAGTTGTCAGATTTTCAATATTTTGCTTAGAAAATTAAATCCATATTTTGGACTCTAAGGAGATAAAGAAAAACAATATGAAATATTCAATGAAATGTTTAAAGCGCTTCAATCTCCAGCGTTAACAAAAACATTGCTTATATTTTAATATTTTTCTACACTGTTTAACTAGATTTTATTTTGCGACCTTATTTTGAATTACAATGACTATCTATATGTCGGCACTAATCCTTCTGTATGAATTGTATGTATTTTTATTTATACGAAATCTTATGGTATGAGTTCATTAATATACATACTTACATGAGTCACAGTTGGTGTTGATTGATATTTTGCAATTTGCTTTTTTAATTATCTTATGAAATAAAAAAAAATAATATTTTAGTAATGTATGAATTTTAACAAAGGACACTTCTTTTTAAAGTGAGTTGTTAAAAGTGTCATATAGTGGTATATGGAAACTATTAAAATATTTTTAAATTAAAAAAAAATCACATATTTGAACCTAGGTAAAACGGTCGTTATCATTTACTCATTAGAGATCATTTAATAATTAAAGGTAACAGTCTACCAAAAAAATATACAAACGTTAAAATGAAGCTCAATGAAGATAATATGAAACAAAACAAAAATGGTTTCTAAGAAATTTTCATATTCAAAAATGACACGAAAACGTCTACGAAATAAATGATATCTTTTAAGATTTTCTCACTTTTTTCTTTTATATTTAAATGATTTACATCTACTCACCCTCTGGGGGAGAGCGTGGTTTTTTTGACAATTTGCTACAGTAACGAGCATAGTAATAATATTTTTTTATTGGCTTGACAAAAGCCTACCACAGGTTTCTCTTAAATTAAATTTATTAGTTAATACTATTGTTATTATATAGAAAAGTATGCTGAAGTTAAACATTTGAAAAACCCTATATGTTAATTTTTAATTATTTTTATTATTATAAACCCAAGTATATTTATAAAGTTGCAAACGTACAAAATATGTTTAGTATGTTCGTTATCTACAGTAATAAATTAAACCTAAACGTATATTTGTTTAGTGAAATTGTTTTGAGTCGTTAAAGGAATACCGAACAACAGTATAAACATATGACTTGAAGTCTAAATACCTGCTTAGCAAGTCGAGCCAGCCCATGCTCGACATGCAGTAACATGACCACAGCTAGGGTCTACTAGCTTTTAAATAAATCAATAACAGTTTTAGAGTTTTTTATGAACTCAACATTTTATGACTATTGTACGTTCTAGTTTATTTTATATATTTATAAGTGTATATTAAGGTATCATTTAAAAATATCATTTTTAGAAACTTGTTTTAGTATACAAACTTTTATAAACTAAATTCAATGAATGTTTCATTTTTTAAACTTATAAAATACCGTACTTTTAAAAAGCCAGTACAAGTACATATAATTATTTTGGCGTGTAACATTCGATAAGAGAATATAAATCATCGAAATACGAAAAAATATATAAACGTGTGGCCTTTACTTTCGCTACCTCAAATCTACTAAGGTCTATGTATTTTTGTATATGTACAAACGGCAACAGATGTGTTACAAAAGTTGATGTAATTACATAGTGATGTTATTTATTTTCATTATGACGAACTCCAATGACTCCGACGTCCACGCCAATTACATGAGGGTGGCAAACGGAGGTTCCAGGAAAATTGAGAAACTTCCTTATGTGTATATTGTAATGAGAATTACATATTAAAACTTATAACCTATATCTAAGATTTTATGATTGCCCTGACGTAAGGATAGCAATGCCAATCTATTTTTTGAGTTGTATCAGGAATCTTCTGGTTCACACGGCTTGCTGTTCGTTCCGCGGAGTCAACAGTGTCACTAGTTATAAGATATTTTATCCATACAACGATGTCGCCCAGGCGATGTTCGTTTATTATATTAATATGAAGTAACATTCTCGAAAACAATATTTAGTATAAGGCTAAGTATATTTGTAATGACAAAATTGTAAATAAGCATATACAGGTTTTCTCACAAGATATAATTTTAAAATTTAAGTATTTTATCCAATATTACAAACAAATTTTACTAGTGCAGAAATAAATAAATAAATGAATTCAATAAGTGTTATAATAGATGCGCCAAAACTTAATGAGAAAACTCCTCCGTAGGTTGCTGAAACAAAAATAAATTAATATCAATAACAATTCGAATGAAACAAATACTTATGCTCTTGCATTTCTCTTAGTTATTTATGAGTTGGTCGTTTCAATATAATACGATATTTAAATAAAAATGGCTTGTGAAAAATACCAATTACTTATAGATTTTATAATTTATAGGAAACTTATTTTTTAATATTTTTCAGGATATCCATAAAGGTAATTGAAAAGTTTTCTATATCCTCGTTTAAAATTCCTTTGTTGTATATTTTACAGTAACTTCCGATACTTTTTAGGTCGAAAAGTTTAATTTTGTTACCGTTTTTGATTAATGAGAAAAAAGGCGAAATATTTTTTTTGGGTAACCACGTTATATCAAATTATATTCTCATTTTTTTTCATACACACGTATTTCTTTCTTGTAGTTTCGGATAATTTGTCATTTTGTTTTTACAAAAACTACAGTAATGTTGTAATGGAAAAATATTTATTTTATTTTTTATTTTTTGTTTTTGTTATAAAAAATGGACATAATGGGGTAGCGGTAGTGGCGGACACACCATAGCTGCAAATAAGCACTGCTTACCACATAACAACTAAAACTACATTGTTTAATTCTTACTTACATACTTTTAATCATAAACTATGGGATACGAATGTTTAAAAATATTTAATATGTCATTTGATTCATTACTTACTTTGTAAATATAACTAACATTTTCGATCGGCCGTTGCTATCGGCTGGCGCCGCTTCCCAACCTAAGTGACCGTAAGTGACCAACTACTCGGTGCATATCTATAATTAATTACCCTATTACAAATCTCTGCGCACGTCCCTGGGTAGTGGAAATCTAAAGCATTAGTGAAAAAATGTAGAAATCGCTTAGAAAATTGTTGGTGCAGCGCGTTGTATGGAAGAACGTTGTCACACCCCTTTTTCTAGCTGTATTATCTATTTCGACATCTTACTTTGACACAACCGCCTCTAATATCTCTCCAATGAGTTTTTGCCGGTTAGAGATAACTCTATACATTTGAAAAATAAACTTTCAGGCACACCCACATCTCTTGTCAACAAGTGTCGATGGCCGTTTATGAATTAACGTTCTTTTTCCAGTTACTAGCAAACCGTATCCCTGGGAGGCCGCTGAGACTTGGTAACTACAGGAACACAAAAGTACGACACCACTTCCCCAGTCCAACTGCTCCTATTCGCGCAAGATAAATCCGGCTGTGTTATAGCTCCTACTATATATGTAAGTCGGTACCAATGAATGTGAAGTCATTTAGTTACACGTTACTTATAATTAAAGTGTCCGAAGATAAAGATTTCTTTGAAATTTCACATTTACGTACGAATTTAGAAAAATAAGCATTTTATGATTTGAACTAACTTACCCACTATATAGTTGAAATCGATTAAAAGTGTCTTTTGATAACAATTACATGTAGATTTGGCGAAGTATACTTGAAGAGACGACAGTTCGATAGTTGTCCAGTTTATCCTAAAATAATTTTTATTTTAGAATAAAAGCAAGGAAAACTAAAAAGTTCTTGTTAGTGCACTTTAACGTATTATAACATCTTATTATTTTAGTATTTATAGCTTAATGTAGTTCCTAGAAGCTATAAGAACGTTTTATTAAACAAATATTCTTTGTCATATGAATAGTTCTTTTCTAGCCGTAAAATAGGAAAATATTTCAATAGAAAAAATAAGAAAATGGAACGGTCAAAATTAATTTCATAATTAAATGAATTGACGTCTCATCACATCAAATGGTTTCAATATTATTTAATAAATATAGTTGAAACTTAAATAAATGTAATAAATTTGTATCTAATACCAATATCTTATTCTTGTCTAATATATATGTATATATATATATATATATATATATATATATATATATATATATATATATATATATATATATATATATATATATATATATATATATATATATATATGTGTGTGGGTGTCTGTATATACTCACTTACTTATTCCTTTATAGATTTCAGTTACTAGAGGCATTACGTCGCTGGTGATACTATACTTCTTATCCCTACATTCTGTATAACAAATTGGTTTACACGTTTCATTGTCCTTGCTTCTGTATGCTAAGTGATAAAACAAACTTCTTGCAAAAACACATATTTAATGATATCCACGTCCATACGTTACAGATAATTCAAATAAGTATACTCGACAACACCTGTGATTTCAACAACCTCGATGATATTCAACAAAGTTTAGGTTTGAGTAGCAAAACATAATTTAACTATTAGTGCTTATAACTAGAAATTATAACTAGAAAGTCGTATTTTCTATAGATAAGTTCCAAGTGTCTTATAAATAATCAATTTAATTATAAAGTTAGATACGTTAAAATATTGCGGCTACAATACACATCAATACATTAAGTTACTGATAATAATCTTTTTTAAAAAAAAAAATATGCCACCGAATCTATTATGAAAAGATTATTAACATATCCTTTGTTCTGAAAACTAATTCTTGCTAAAGTCTATGAGTTTGGGAGGGATATTTGCATTAGAATTCAGTAACTAATTAATATTTTAAGGACTGTTATAAATCTATATTTTCTTTTCTTTAACTCTTCCATTGAGGTTTATATTTTAATATAACTTAGGAAAGTGACAACCGGGAATTTATAGGTATTATAACGTTTTTAATATACAAGTTTTTGTCTTTACTTAAATGTATTTAATATTTGTGTAATCATAGCTAAAATTTTTAAAGAGTTGTATTTTGTAACATTTGACTATCCCGAATACTTACTCCCAATCATATTTAAAAATATCATAATATTTAAATATAATTGTAGTTGTGACTAAATAGGTACAAATAAATACTACCTCTCATATTATTTAAACACTCCAGATCTTCGAATGTGCAAGTACGAATGCTGTCATCTGGAAAAGGTAATGAAAATTAATATCTTTATATAAAGAATAATTTATATTCGTTAAGCTAATTTATGAAAATGTACATAAGTTAAAAGTCAAAAGCAATGTTATTCTAATACAAATTAAAGTAAACACTTATTTTTAATACCGCTTGGATATTTGTAAGGGACACAGCCACATCCCTCTTTGTATCGCTTCATTTTGCACTCAGTCTTGCATGTCTCGGTACTGTATCTGTCAGTGTGAACCAAAATAGTTTCGTCATGGAAGCTACAGCCTCGTTTATCTATCGGAACACTGCGGAGGTTGTCATCGCTAGTGAATACCATTGGCTCTACTTTGATTTCTAGCGCGTCCCCTACTTTTACATATTTATATAGTACCGTTATTTCAGGGTAATCATTCGGATCTGAGATTAAAATCTGTAAATATATGTATATTACTATTACATGTATGCATGTATATATATGATTGTTTTTAAAATGACTTATTCATACCTTAGCTCCGTAATATGGCGATTGAGACCAATCTGGATAATCGTGAGGTTCTACGTGGAACACCACGCTTAGACCAGAGCCTCTTCCGAAAAAATAAATAATCATATTTTTAATAGAGTATTCAATGATATAAATTATCACAATAGTAAAAAAGTGATATATCATTAATTACTAATCTATATTATTTGTACAAAAAATAGCAACTTTGTTTGATTTAGTGCATTCAGAATTTTTATATCGCTATTATAAGCTATGCGCTATAAGTCACAAAGACGTAACACTATTTGCGAGTTTTTTAATAGAACCAAGAGTTGCTATTTTTTTGTGATGACCACTTACAACGATCATTTTAAAATGAGGCGATGTGGTGTAAGTGAATTACTTTAAGTACTAAAGGGAATTTTGTGCAAAGAAATTGTTATTATATAAAATATATATTAAGCGTAATGTTATTATTAATATTAAATATAACAGGCGTTATCAGATAAATAATTACCTGCCGGATTCAGACGTGACAAGAATATTGTTGGACTTTTCTTGCGTGCTAGGATCGATATAATACTCTGTGTCTTCTTCATTCGACAACTCTCTGAAAATGTAATGTTATGCTCGTACTCCAATACACATGCATAAATAATAGGTTAAAATGTTTACATACTCCACATTGACATCTTTCAGAGCCGCGTAGTTGAAAACACAGCAGTAGCCTTCGTATGTTTTAATTAAACTAAACAAATCTGCGCAGTTTTTTGTTTTTTTATTAAATTCACAATACAACATCAGATCTTCGCACTTCTGATGTACCTATTTTTTTAAAGTATATTGTAATGAAAAGAAAAAAATACCAAAAAAAAGTAAGAAACTTACTTTCTCCATAACTGAGTCAACTGTGAAGTAGTGGTTTTTTAAAATAGACATGATTCCAGAGAAATTTTCAACTTTTTCATTGAGATTATTAAAATTTGTTAGATAAGGTAAACTCTTATAGAAATTTTGTATTTGTTGATTTGTTACATTGTGCCTTTTCCTTTAAAAGTAATGAATATTATAAAACATGTATGTAATCGTAAATGTTATTAAATATACGAGTACATATTAATTTCGTAAATACTTTAATTACTTACAAAATGTTGGTAATATCAGCAGTTTGTTTTGTGGAAATTATATTAAAATTGCAAATACTAACAGCGGGAAACGGCACCTGGTTCACTTTGCAATCTGCATTGATCTGATGAAACCAAGAAATGAAGAACTCAATTTTATGAAATGAGTGAACTAATAATAAATCCCTACTAATATTATAAATGCGAAAGTAACTCTGTCTGTCTGTCTGTTACGCTTTCACGCCTTAACCACTGAACTAATTTTAATAAAATTTGGTACAGAGATGGAGTTAACCTTGAGAAAGAACATAGAATAGTTTTTATCCCAGACTTTAGAAAGGTTCTCTTGGAAACGCGATATAACCGAATTCCACGCGGGCGAAGCTGCAGGCGGAACAATTTTACAAAATAGCAAAATATGAAGTATGACTTTAATAATTTCATTATTTGCGATGGCTTATGTTGTAATGCATTTTTCTAGAATAGTATGTAGTACTATCTAACACTTTATTTATTTTGTACAAAATACATAAAATCTTTGAAATGTGTGGGAGTATAGAATAATTATTTTAGTAAAATATTACAACTGAATACTATAGCAAACTTTTTCAAACCAATGAGGCTTAAAATTTAGGAGACCAACTACTTCTTTGTCAAACATTTCCCATTAAAGGCTCTTCATTCAAATATTGAGAATAAGGGACGGAATAAAATATTTTTTAAATTCATTAATTATTATTTTCATAGAACTTCTATTCCCAAGGATACGGTATCGTTTTATAAATTTAAAATCGTATATTTTAATGATTAACCACAATATGTCGTATGATCTAAAAAAATCTTCTATCAATGAAGATATACATATAATATGAGCAAATTATTTCACCACAAATAAAGTCCTCGACAAGATTATACCATTACATTATAACTTTACTTGTTAACATGTTTGGGTCATATTTTAATCTATGCATGTATTGCTGAAGAAAAATAAATTTTATTTCAATCTTACCCGTGTTATTATCTGGTCATTATTATATCGTGTTTTTATCACCAAAATATATCCTATAGTTAAGAATAAATTTGATATCATAATTGCAATCCAAAAATAAAATGAAAGATCTTTCTTCTTAACAAGGTGTCGGATTCCATGCAGGGTTGTTATTTTATCAAAGATGGATCTTAGATTAAAAACCATTTCCCTTTATATAATTCGTTATTCACTCAACGTTAACCCTTGAATGAATTAAAATAAGAGAACACACATTTTTATTAAATTGGTCACTTTCCTTTAGATTGCTTTCAATATTTAATATATTTATTAATTAGTTTTCTTCAAAACTTCACCTGTGAAAATTGATCGTCCACACAGACCAAAACTTTTTGTATGTGATGTTTTTTTATTTAATGTACCTACGACTAGCACATATGTATATTTTTATTTATTTTTATATTTTGACACATAATAAAGATTTCTTCCGTATTTATGACCAGTTTTTTGCTATCAATAATGGCACTTTCATATTTTTAAATATTTGAATTGTTAGTTATTCTTTAGTAGCATTATTTTTTGACTATATATGAAAGAAATAAATCATTATGGATTTTAACTTATTTTTATGTTAACAGTAATACAGTACAGTATTTGCTTGCTTTTTGGATACTCACCCTCTCAGGAGGGAACGCAAGATATGTGAAGTTCCATAAAAAGGCTATTTGGTTTCCTTTGGTAGTTCAAAGGAGCTCTGAAGATGAATCCAGGGCTTTCCGCTGCTATACCCTAAACTAATAGCTATAAAAGATCATCTCGATATCAATGGGGTGTCAGTGTCAAACCTGTTTGGGGAGTGGAGTGATGTCCGTCATTGAAATGCTTTCGATGTTTTGACATCATCTCCTAGAATCTCATTGCTTTTCCCCATATCAGTCTGAGGAAATTATCAGACAATTTGGTTCCTCTCAAATAATACAAAATCCCATGTCCATAATTATACCATCAGATTTCAAAAAAAACTTAGTCTAGTCTATCATGCAGGATAGTCGGCAAGGAAATTAAAAAATCTGTTGCGGTACCTGAAAGAACACATTTTCACAGATATTTTAGCCCCCTCTGTCCGGAATCGCAGTAACTGCCAAATAATTCAAATATAAGGTATAATGTACATCAGTTAAATTCTCCTAACATTGTTTTATTTAAATTTGAACCGCCGAAAATGTTGGATACCCTTATTTATAGTCAGCATCATATTCAGCATACTGAAAATTATAAAATCAGTTACAAACTAGTTTTGTGCACCATTATTTACTGTAACTTAAAATAATTAGTATTTACCTAGTGAATTAAAGTATAGTTCTTAAGACTTGCTGTATTAATGCATAAAGTTTTAATTATTTTCTTTAGGACTCACAAATTTAATAATGAACTTAGAGCTTAAGCGAACTCAACTTCAAAATTTTAACAAAAATTATTATCTTCATTAAAATTATCATTAATTGGCTAGACTATATCATATTGTCAATGAGACCGTATAATTTTTGAGAAGTTTTGTGTTTATTCTTATTTTTAACTATTCTCTTGAAATATGAAAATTTTATTTTATTTCTTTTGATTAACCATGTTTTGTTAATGGTTTCTTATTTAGCTTTAGTCCTAGGTTCTTTAAAATATAAAGCATTTAGTATTTTTTTATGTACGGCCATAAAGTGGCTTTGTTCTGTTTATGATCCAAAGCACTCAACAACTCCCTCGTACCTATTAGTTGGACTATTTTTTAAATCATTTCCCGGTACTTAATATTTTTTCCTTTATTTTTGCGACCAATTATTTTGAGTTTTGAGTGTTGTCCGGTTGCCATGTAATGACTTCTTACTCTTCTTGTTAGTTTTTTAATAATACTTTTATCTAAAACATACATTTGACAGATACAATAAACACTAGATTAAAACTGACATAAAATAAATAACTACAATTTAGCTTCATATCCTTTCTGAAAACACTAAATAAAAATAACTAGAACACATTTATATCATATGACCAAAATTTTTTCTAGAAAGTTTAGTTAGTTGATATATTTTTCATTCCAGTGTAGAATATTGCAACTATGTACTTTTAATACATACAATATTTCTAGGAAACTTGATGTCGATGGGAATAGTATCTTTTTTTAATTCTAACTCCGTTTTTGAATAATTTATTATATTTTTTGCATTAAATTAATATTTTCAAGAGAAATTTATTGCGTAACCTTGTACAAACTTTAAAATATGTGTAAGTAACGACTAAGGAACTATATATTTTCATGATGTTTATGTTTTGACCTTACTTTTTTGATGAAGGTAAGCAAAATATCTCGAGTTAGGTTTTATCGTTAGTAAATTTGGAATAATTAAACTTTATGACCGAGTTGGCCTCGTAAACCTGCTGTGTTTTATTGATCACAGTTTTCATTTTACTTCTGCGGTTAATAGTTTCATGTTGCCTAATGAAACATGTTTTTAGATATTTAGTTACATATACATTCATCCTACATACTTCTATCAACATATTTATTTCTTTATTTGTACCGTTCCATAAGAAAGATTTTTCCTTTTAATAGAATATATATTACACTAGTTTTTGCCCGCGACTTCGTCCGCGTTAGTTTCGTCATTAGTAATATATGTATAGCTGACCAGGCGAACTCTATTCCATCTTAGAGGCCATAAATAATCAGGTTTTTCCTGTTTCAATCAAACAGAATGATTGACATATTAGTTAGTTGTCAAATCTAATGTCAAAAAAGCGTTTGTATGGGAAATAGAAAAGGGCTCGTTTTAGGGTTTTCCCGGCAATTATTCCAATTTTTCTCACCTTTTATACCTTCCCTGAACCTCCACGAACATTTCAAGACTAAGATAAGACAAATCCGTTCAGCTGTTCTCGAGTTTTAGCGAGACTAAGGAACAGCAATCCATTTTTATATATATAGAAGATTATAAAATATATATATATTCTGAAAATACATT